AATTAATATTTAATTTAATTTAATTAATTTAATTAAGAGAAATTCAATTTTTATAGCTGTTTGTACGTAAAACTAGAACATTCATTGATATAGCCATGGTAATGACAGTGTCTAATTCTTGAATCTGAAAAACTGTTTCTGTCTGCAGTTAAACTGAACTGCTTAACTCCATTGAAACCAATGTTATGTGTAGACATGATGGTTTGCAGTACTGAGGTCTAGCTGAACGAAACTAAAAAAATAAGTAACATATTTTGTAATTTACTAATGTGATTTGAAATTATTTTAGATCATAACTTAAGGTTTAGTATTTATGACATAATTGTATCATAAATGCACTAGTTACTCAGTTTTTCAACTACTAAGGCTTTGTTTCAGTATTCTGTTTCATCTTTGAAAAGGGACCTTCTTTGTTCCTAATTTAGTTCTTAGGTTTTCCTGTTTTGATGCTTCTTTACAGATATGGACTAAATTTTTCCAAAACCTCCTTTGAAAAGATTTCTTTTTTTTTTTTAAAGTATAAGTGGAAGATTAATCCTGTAAATGTGGTGCAACTATTTTATTTTTTTTAAATTAAGTATTTTTCTTGACAAAAGATGTAGAAATTACGTTTGAGTAGTAGAATTACTATTTTAAAAAATATAAGTATAAATATATATTCAAGTATATATACTATTTTGTTGTTTCACAGGAGAAGCTAGAAAAACTGTTCTGACTAAGCCAAGTGACTCTTCACCTGAAGTTATAAACTATTTGGGTAACAAAGCATGTGAATGTTACATTTCCATTGCTGACTGGTCTGCTGTTCAGGAGTGGCAAAACATGGTCCATGACTTGAAGAAAAGCAATAGTAATACCTCAATCAATCTGAAAGCAGATTTTAACTATATAAAGTAAGCATACAATGAATTTATTCAGCAGTGCCTTGAGTTTTCATTGATTTTAGAAGCTGTAGGAGATTGAAATAGAGGTGTGATAAAAAGAAAGTTGTGTTCCTGGGAGGGGGAAAACTTGCCACGATACTTACTAAGCCATACAGATAAGCGAAGAGATAACATCATTCTAAAATAGTTACTGTGGCTTTCTGGCTGCTGAGGTTTCTTAATATTCAAGAAGAACTTCTTTTCACTGAAAGTAAAAGATGTCAAGTTTATTGCAGAAGGTGCATCCTTTTGCACAGCTTAAATACTAAAAAATAAAATGCCTGTCAGTGGTACAGTTATTTTATATTTTAATTCATTAAGCTAATGTTAAAAGTCTATTAAGGAGATGATCCTGGCTGCTTAAATTTAAATTCTTTTTTTGTTTTGCTTGTTTTAATGGAATTTAGACTTGTAGTTTATGCATTGATTTCCTAATCCTTGATATTTGTCTGGTTCATGAAAATTAATTCGTGACATTGAAATAGTTCTTCAAGCTTTAAAGGTCCTTTATTTCATTTGACAGCTTGATTCCTTTCCATCCTTGTATTATTGTGGTAAACATCATAAAATCCTTTTGGCTGAAAATTCTTGACTTGAAAATAAAAGCATAGAAGGAAGCTTTGAAATAAAGTCTTTCAGGTCTGAAAGTGTGACTACTTCTGTCAGAGGAAGGGGCGATCCTTTTTCTTACTGCAGTTACTCAGTGCTGTGCAGTTAATCCATTAGGAGAGCGAGTGCTTGTCACGGATGTGAAAATGTCATTTCTGAATGTTCATGTGTTTGTAAACTAAACCCACTGTACGTCTGCTAAACATCGTGAGTGCTTGCTGGACTGTTGCACAGGTCTGGTCCTGTTGGCTGGTTTGAGTTAGCTTTCATCCAGATAATTACTAGAAGTAAGATATTGTATCATCAGAAAAAATCCTGTAGAGAGCTCCAGAGAATGCACAGCACTTTGACTTTCCTAATGCACACACTTTGATAATTCCTTCTTCAGTGGATGGTAACAAGAATATTGAAACTTTGAGTCTTCTGTATTCTGAGCTATTGAGCCTTTTAAACTTTTCAGTGCCTTTTTTGTGTACTTCTGTAAAAATCTATGTTGCCCAAGTTATTTCCTAATGTAAAACAATGGAAAAAAAAAAAAGTTAAATTTGCTGCTTCAGGCTGTTAAGTAACAAAAATTTGTATAGTCTGACCTTCACAGTATTCTAGTATTTCTGGAATTTTGGTTGAAGAAAATGAAGAGTTGAAACCATGACCGTATGAAATTCTGCCCCAAACCTTAATTTTCTGTGCATAGTATGCGGGCAGGGGGAAGTCTTGGAGTTTTTGTTTGTTTTTTAAACTCTTCCAAAGTCTACCTTTTTCTTCCTGACTATGGTAGAAGAATATTATATATAGTGCGGAGTTAATATGAAACTTCATAGCTGGAGAAGTGTTTTTTCCTTTCACTTTGACGTTGAATTTGTCCATTTGGTGCCATACTATTGCCTTTTACTGATCCTAGTGAAAATTGGGATTTTTGCTTCAAATTAATCGTAAGTGCTCTGTAGGGTTTTGAGTTATACTTGACTATTTCTCTCTTTGCTGTATGATTATAAGATACTTAGCGACTGAAATGAAGTAAGAAATGTGAAAATAAAACTATAAACATTGAATTGCAGATCTTTGAGCAGCTTTGAGTCTGGACAACTCACTGAATGCACGGAACAACTAGAATTATTACCAGGAGAAAATATCAACCTACTTGCAGGGGGATCTAAGGAAAAAATAGGTATAAACGCATAAGTTAACATACCTTCAAATACAGAAGTAAATATTTCTTCATGTATCCATCTTTATAAATGACCGACTGAATGCAGTTTGTATAACCTTTATGAATTGAGCTTCAGTGGTCATTCTAAATGTTGATATAAGTGTGTTCTGGAGTTGGTGTGTTTGTTTATAAGTAATCTAGCATCAATTTATAATATAAACACACACACACGCACATATATATATATATATGTATTTTAAAAGACTTTCAAAATGCACTTCCTTTCTCTCAAATGCGTTCTCAAATGGTAACACTTGATAAAATTTGGCAGTTCTAGTTGGTTTCAATTGTTTGTTCTCCATGTAGACATGAAGAAGCTCCTTCCTAATATGCTAAGTCCTGATCCAAGAGAACTTCAAAAAGCGGTTGAAGTACAGCTTTTGAGAAGTTCAGTATGTCTGGCAACAGCTGTAAACCACATAGAACAGGAGCAAAAGTGGCAGTCGATATCCGAGTAAGTTGAAATGTGCTATGAATGAATGGAATGTACTGTTGTACTGTGAAAAGCTGTTCTAGTTTGTTAACATGACTTCGTAAAAAGCATACTCTGCTTCATACTTCTCCATCTGTGGTAGTTTGCTGCTAGTTTTAGCTGTTGGAATTTGTAAGCTTAGCGAGGAAAAGTAAGAGACTGTGTTTAACTTGGCTATTATGCAGTTCTTTGAGTTGATGAAGTACTGCTTCTTGTTAGTAGTAAAGTATTATACTATAACCTGTGTGTGATATTACAGATTTTTCTCATGTCTTTCAAGATGTTGAATTTGCTTTTGATATTGCTATTTACTCTTAAGGTCTAACTAACAAAAATGACTGTTCTGATTCTTTTAATTCAGGAATGTTATAAAGTACTTAAAGCAAACATCACGAATCGCTATTGGACCTTTAAGACTTTCCACACTCACTGTGTCTCAGTCTTTACCAGTGTTGAGCACTCTTCAGTTGTATTGTTCTTCTGCTTTGGAAAACACTGTATCCAACAGGCTGACATCAGAGGTATGTCTGTGTGTTTAAACCTAAATTTGGAGTAATGTCTTTCTATTGAGCGGTCATTTAATGAAATATTGAATAGAGAAGGTACATTGTTTTGACCCTTGTTAATCATACTGTAAAAAGACCTCATTTGACTTCTAACATGCTTGACCCAAGTTTTTTTAAATTTACACCTCAGTTGAACTTCTTTCTATAGTTATAAATATACCATATCTTTCAATTACACTTAGTGTTTTCAAAGTTTTGTTGGTAGATGTTTTTTAGAGAAGTGTTCATATATTTCTTCTTTAAATACATTGTAACACTTATTCCTACAACACACATATGTATTTTACTTTTTAAAAGTAACTTTAAAGTGTTTCTCAAAAAACAGTCGCTTCAGCAATTAAATACTTGATGTCAAAGTTCAACCCATATGAATGTTCTAATTCTAATTTCTAATCACGTTGTTCAGAAAACAGTTACTGATTTTGAGCTATTTTTAGTGTTGTCTCTAAAATCAAACCTGTCTTCTAGAGTTACAGAAAATGTATTTGTGTTTTATTAGTAACAGTAAAGAGTGGCTATGAATACGGAGAAGAATGTGTGGTCTTTGGTTTTAATAAATGAAAATACATTTCAATTAAGATGTTTCTCATGACAGCTGTGAAATTTCTGTGCCTCTTTCAGGACTGTCTTATACCTCTCTTCAATGATGCTTTGAGGTCATGCAAACAGCACGATGTGAGGCCCTGGATGCACGCGCTGAGGTACACAGTGTACCAGAATCAATTGATGGAAAAACTTAAAGGTATACAAACTGTCATTTTAGTGCAGAATTTGAACTTTTCTTCTGAAAGCAGCAGCTGTGTCTGTATATTATTTAGATGGATTACTTTTTAAAAGCCAGGTTATGGTTATTAAGGTGTCTTGCTTTACAACTAAGGGTCTCAATTACTGCTGTAATTTAGACCACTAAAAAGAAAAAAAAATCTGAAATCGCACAGAATATTAGGAGTTGGAAGGGACCTTGAAAGATCATCTAGTCCAACTGCTTAGTAGTTCTGTACTCACTCTTCTAATCACACTTTACATGCTCATCTCTTCATGCTTTAAGTGCTTTAACTTTTGAGTACTTCAACACTATCAGTAATGGGTCTTTAAAAACAGTTACAAAAGCCATTTAAACGCACAGTGTGATAAAAGGTAGTGGGAGAAAAAGAAGTTGTATTAGGGGACAAGAAGATTAGTTAAAAAGAATGCTTGTAGTAAAGAAATTACTCGTTTGCCCAGCAGCTAATTTATAGATATTTATTTTGCTTCAGATGAGATAAATAAATATTTAAGACAAAAATGAAGTTATCTAAATTTCTGAAGGAGGTATTAGGAAGTATAAAACAGCTGAGCAATTTTTTACTGATGGCCATGTACAGAGTACTTTGGGCGGAAATTATCTGTATACCCCAGGTGCTATTCTTGTTTGTTTAATAATATTGTTTAATTTGTTTTGCTTTCTTCTTCAGAACCAACAGTCCCAATTAAAAGCCATCTCATGGAGCTAGGCTTAACAGCAGCAAAATTTGCACGGAAGCGAGGAAATATTGCCCTAGCTACGCGGCTGCTCGCCCAGTGCAGTGAAGTTCAGCTAGGAAAAACCACCACTGCACAAGATTTAGTCCAGCACTTCAAAAAATTGTCTGCACAAGGTCAGATAGATGAGAAATGGGGTCCTGAACTTGATATTGAGAAAACAAAATTGTTATACACAGCAGGTCAGTATTTGCTAATTATGTTGTAGATTCTTAAGCTTCTTGTCCTTATAACCAGGCTAATTCCCCTGACCTTGAAGAAATCATAATAGGGCAGTATCATTAGGAACTGATTTAATGCTAATAACTGCTGTCTCAGTCTGAAAGTATTTTCCTAAGTCTTTTCTTACTTATAATTTTTAACTTCAAGCAAGAATTTTCTTTGTAAAAATATATTTTTATAAGCTGTATTTAATTATGCTGAATTTCAGAAGAATTTTTTAGAATAAAGTTAACAGTCTACTGAAGATGTGCTTTTCATGATATGCAGGTCAGTCAACACATGCCATGGAAATGCTGAGTTCCTGTGCCATATCCTTTTGCAAATCTGCCAAAGCTGAATATGCAGTTGCTAAATCTATTCTCACACTGGCTAAGTGGATTCAAGCAGAATGGAAAGAGATTTCAGGACAGTTGAAACAAGTATATAGAGCTCGACAGCAGCAGAATCACACTGGCCTGTCTACGTTGTCTAAAAACATATATAATTTGATTGATCTCTCAGCTGTTAATACACTAGAAGAAGAATATCCTAGGATTGAAAGTGAATCTACAGGTAGAGGTGTTCTTATTAATTTGTTAAATTACTTACTAGTGATTCCACTGAGGGATAGCACCAGTTATGTTGATAAAGACTTAAGTGCTCCATCACTCATGTATTTTATTAATACAAATATAAACTGTTTGAGTGATAGGTAACTATACACACATAAAAAAGAAGCACCTTAGTATTGATATTTCATGCTTCTTTCACATTTTTCTCATTAAAGTGATTGTGGCCTGAACAAGAAACTGGAATGCATTTATTTTATGATGAGGATATCAGATTTTGTGATGGTTCTATCTGCTTTCAATGCCTTTATTTGTTAGTTTGAATGAGATCTTTCAGATAAAGCATTGACAAGCATTTTTGAAGGATGTGATAAGTCTGAAAAGGCCTTAGGCTTTCTCATTATCTTTAATCTGTGCTTAATTTGAACGCTTCTGTTGTTGTCGTCACAAAATGTACTTTTAATTACCAATTTTTGGCAGTGTTTTCTTAAAATGCCAAGATAAAATTCTTTCTTTGCTTAAACATGGATTTCACAAATAACTTAATTCCTCTCCTGCAGAGTAAGAGTTATTGCAGAGCTGTTAATGGATGTTAAATAGCTGGTGCTTTTTGGCTTTCAAGAAAATAAATAAATACACAAATAAATACAAACATATTGCCCTAGGTACTACTTAAGTATACTTTCTGAAATATCTTGCTCTTTTGGATAACATGAGTTTCTTGCATCGATACTGTCTTTCTGTGGAAGAGGAAACAATTGCAATAGGCAGTGGTTGTTAGAAAGTGAAAAACTGGTCTTTGTTTTGCAGCCAGTGTCAGAACTGAAAAATAATTGCATTTTGGAAAACTTGACACTTCTGGGTACTAACTTGACCAAAAAAAAATAAACCTGTTTTTTCTGCTGTTATTTTGTATGTCGAGGAAATTAGAAGTAGATTTTACCTCATAACACATATTGCTCTATTTCTCCCATCACAGTAAATATTGGAGTTGGAGAACCTGACTTCATCTTGGGACAGTTGTATCACTTGTCTTCGGTACAGGCACCTGAAGTAGCCAAGTCTTGGGCAGCCCTGGCCAGTTGGGCTTATAGATGGGGCCGGAAAGTAGTTGATAATGCCAGGTAAATTCATCCTAATGTTTCAATTTATATAGCACAACTCGTTTTCTGTATTAAGATAACCCCTATATATCTATATAGATATATAGGTAGAGATATATACATATATGTAGGTATATAGATATGTGTGTGTGTATATATGTATGTGTATCTATGAATATAGATATATGAATATGTGTATATATATATATGAGAATATGAATATGAATATTGTTCTTTGTGATCAGAAGTTGCATGTGAGCAGAGAATTGTGAATATTCTTTTGATTACTTGCCCTCTCTAAAAAGGAGTGAGTTTAATTCTGAGTTAAAGGGTGAAGATTCTTCCTTCAAAAAGTTTTATATATACGATGTTAGTGGGTTCAGTAGCTCTACAAAGGGCATGGACTTGTTTCAGTGAGTCCAGAAGAAAGGCACAAAGATGATCAGGGGGCTGAAACACCTCCCCTGTGGGGTCAGGCTTAGAGAGTTGGAATTTTTCAGCCGTGGTAAGAGAAACTTCCAGGGAGATGTTATAGCAGCCTCCTGGTACTTAAAAGGCGCCTACGGGAGAAATGGGGAGGGACTCTTTATCAGAGAGAGTAGTGACAGGTACGAGGGGTAAAGGTTTTAAACTGGAATAGGGTAGATTTAGGTTAGATATTAGGAAGAAACTGTTTTACTATGGAGGGTGGTGAGGTGCTGGCACAGGTTGTCCAGAGAAGTTGTAGATGCCGCTTCCCTGGAAGTGTGCAAGGCCAGGTTGGATGGGGCTTTAAGCAGCCTGGTCTGGTGGGAGGTCCCTGCCCATGGCATTGGGGTTGGAATTAGATGATCTTTAAGGTCCCTTCCAACCCAAACCATTCTATTGTTCTGTGTTGGAGATCAATAATTAATTAAATGTTACAGTCAGGGAGAAGGTGTTCGCCTGCTGCCCCAGGAAAAATCTGAGGTTCAGAACTTGCTTCCAGACAACATTGCAGAGGAAGATCAGGAAAAAATCTATGGAATTCTTGGGCAGGCGGTGTGTCGTCCAGCTGGGATTCAAGTAAGTGTAATTTTCCTCGCCAAAAAAATGTTCAACTTCAGGGTGAAACTTAATTTTCCTCTACTTGTGATTCATATTAACTCTTGTAAATGCTTTGAAGTTAAAATTTAGATAATATTCTCTAAGAAACCATCTGTTAGCTAAGCGGTAACATGTCTGTTCTGTGGACTATGGTAATATGATCAAGTACTGTAATTGTGTGAGTTGTCTAGGCAAAAACTGGATTAGGAACTACTACTGCTTGTAGAAGTGACTGGAGGACTTAATCAAATCTGTTGTCTCTTTAGGATGAAGATATGACTCTACAAATCACTGAAAATGAGGACAATGAAGAAGATGATATGGTGGATGTTATATGGCGTCAGTTATTAACAAGTTGTCCCTGGCTTTCAGATCTTGATGAAAATGCAACAGAAGGGTTAATTAAAGTGTGGAGGAAAGTTGTAGACAGAATCTTCAGTCTCTATAAGCTCTCCTGCAGCGCATATTTTACTTTCCTCAAACTCAATGCTGGTCAGGTTAGTGTTCATGCTGATGAGCAAATCCTGTTACAAACTTTTCTGAATTACTACATAAACTATATACTTAGCTTAGAGGACTATTTCTTTATTTCAAGGTTTCACTTGATGAAGATGATCCCAGGCTGCACTTAAGAAATACTTCTGAGCAAAGCACTGACGATGTTATTGTGATGGCAACCCTAAGACTGTTACGATTGCTTGTGAAACATGCTGGAGAACTTAGACAGTATCTAGAGCATGGGCTAGAAACTACACCTACTGCTCCTTGGAGAGGTAAGTACATGTTATCTAGTTGTTAAAATTAACACATTTTTCTCTAAATATCCGCAGAAAGGTGTTTGCTGCACTTTCATAAAATTGTCATTTAAGCATGATGGTAAGAGAGCCTGTTTTTTTACAAAATAATTTCATTAAGGGTGTTCAAGTCTCTGCCATGCATTCTGTTCTTAAAATGGAGAAGTAGCGTGGATTCTGACCCCCAACCTCCCTTGCATTAAGACACTGAAAGGAGATGTAGTTTTTGAAGTATTACGTGATTTTACCACCTAAAAAAATGGTTGTTTTTTTTTGTGGTGGTGTTTTTTTGTTTTGTTTTTTTAGTTACAGTTTGAAATGCTCTTCAGAGAAACATGTGTGTCTAAAGCTAGATGTCTCAGAAGTAGTTGTTTGTAACTACACTGCTGGTTCTGTTTGCTCAGGGACAAAAAAATATTGAGTTAAAAGTGTGGGAGACAGCAGAAAAGGAGGCCAGCTATGGCAAAATTGTACTTCCTTTTGAAACATCCAGTTATGCTAATGTCAAGAACTATTAATGTGACTCTCCATATTTTCAAAAAATTATAGAACAGATACAGTGTGCAAAACTGAATTCCTAGTGCTTGACTAAAAGATTTATATATATTGCATCTGATGTTACCTGTCTTTGAATAGTAGAAGAAAATAAGCTATTGCCCGTACTATGGAACACAGTTACTTAAAACAAAAAGTTTTTATTGGGAAAGTAGACATTTACATTCTCCTAATGCAAAACTAGTATGCTTTTTAAAACAAAATAAAATTCTGAAGTGTATGAAAATGTAATTTGAAGAGTATGGAAATGAATTGGCATATTTTCTTTTCCTGTTTATGAAGGTATTATTCCTCAGCTTTTCTCCCGCCTGAATCACCCAGAAGTGTATGTTCGTCAGAGTATTTGCAACTTATTGTGCCGAGTGGCTCAAGATTCTCCTCATCTCATACTATATCCTGCAATAGTGGGTACCATTTCGCTTAGTAGTGAATCCCAGACTTCAGGTATGAAGGAGAAAATAAATGTTCAAATACGCTTTAGCTAAATATACTTTATAGACTGGATAAAGTGATACTGAGGGTTTTTTTGTTTGTTTGGGTTTTTTTCAGTAACTCTGATACTTTTTATCTTAAGAACATTTTTATTATGGACCTCTCTGATACCTTTAATTTGATTTGATTTTGCCAGTTTGGCAAATAAGTTAGTTTTTTCAATTTTATCATTGTATACTTGGCCAGTACTTAATGGTGCATGGGGACCTGATGTGAAATGAAGTATTGAGTGATGTGTCTTTCAAAGCCAGAACAGTGTAGATAATACTTTGGCATCTGTTTTTAATTTAGGGAACAAGCTGCCTTCTGCCATCCCTACTTTGCTAGGTAATATTCAAGGAGAAGAACTGTTGGGTGGTGAATGTGATGGGGGAAGCCCCTCAACTTCTCAAGAAAGTAGTAAAGATGACATGAAAGTTGGATTAAATGAAGATCAAGCAATGATGCAAGATTGTTACAGCAAAATTGTGGAGAAACTCTCTGCTGCAAATCCGACAATGGTATTGCAGGTAAAAAATTTTTGTTACGTGTGCTCTTATTTGAACCACAAAATAGTGTAATCTCTATATCTTGTGAGTAGGTCTGCTGAAAGTTCGGTGCATCTTTGCTGTTAGGGTGTCATCTTTTTTTGAGTTTTCCATCTGCAAGAATAAGTCTTAATATTAGTACTCTTAAAATTAGGTGAATCTTAATTTATTTTATACAGGTTCAAATGCTAGTGGCTGAGCTGCGTAGAGTTACAGTTCTTTGGGATGAACTTTGGTTGGGAGTTTTACTGCAACAGCACATGTATGTCCTTAGAAGGATCCAACAACTGGAAGATGAAGTCAAGAGGGTCCAAAACAACAACACACTACGGAAGTATGTGTTTTTTGAATAATTAAAGTGATGATTGTAACATCTTCTTGGGGAAGCATACAGTCAAACCGATCAGCAGTGTTGTTGCTCCTGAGTTCTTACTATTCCAGCTGCTTCTTTGTAAGCCAGTGGCCTTATTTAAAGAAGATTTTGATGCTACAACTAGTACTCTAATCAAATGAGAAACAACAGTCTACCTGTGAATCCATGTTGGGATTTCCTTAGTGAAAATGTGTTAGAACCCAATGCATATAATTTGAGGATTATGAGATCCTGTAGTTCTTCATTTCAAGGTCTGTCTTACAAGTCAGCTGAAATGAGGACAAGCATGTTGAAGAGTGTAATCTGTTTTGGTGTTTACTGTGAATACAGATATTTGGAGTCAACAGAGCATCTTAATCTGCTTTTGGTTTTCATTGTTCAGCAACCTTTTTTTTTCTTTTCTCCACCCCCCCC